AGATCGGGATTGGGAAGCGGCGCAGCGGCCCTGCCACGTGGAAAGGCCTTGATGGGGGCGCAAGCGCAAGCTGATTGGGATCACCAGGGGGGGGTTGCTACATCGAAATAGTTTCATCATCATCATCAATAAACCAAGTCGTTTTCCCCCACCTGGCGCTCAACGCCCACCTCTCTCTCTCTCTCTCAATCTATCAATCAATCTATCAATCAATCAATCAATCAATCAATCAATCAACCAATCAATCAATCGATTGGATAAACTAATTGATTGATTGAGAGAGAGAGAAAGATATCCAGTTCGGCGTCGGTGTCCACATCGGGATCACGGAAGAAGAAGGCGTCGAAATCGGTGTTTGGATGACCGGAGGGGGTTTGCTACGTGGCCACTGCGCAAGGAAAATGAGTGATAGCGAATTCCAGAAACCAAGGTCAAGGAAAAACCGTAAAAAAAAAAAAAACAACGAACATAAAAAAAAAAACACGTAGCGGTTTGCCACGTTTATTATCAATCAATCAATCAATCAATCAATCCTTAATTGATTGACAGGTTGATTGGTCGATTGAAAGAAACAGAAGCGAAAAAGTGGGCCTGGTGAAAAGGGAAAAAAAATCAATGGCGACGACGATGGCGAGGATGACGACTACTGGGGTGCGTTTCACGGCGGGGCGAGAAGGGGGGGGGGGCGTGAGCCGCGCGACCAATCAACCAATCAACCAACCAATCAATCAATCAATCAATCAATCAACCAAGCAATCAAGTGATCAATCAATCAATCATTAAATCAATCAGTCAAGTCTGCATTTCGACATTGATCGCGTGTGATTATCGCTATGGTTGCGTTTCGCGCTGAGGTACCGCCGGGCGGGTTGCATTTCTCTCCCTCCTGATTCACATCACTCAAGATAGCTATGGCACGTGGCGCCCAACAATCCCTCCCAACCAAGAAGAAATAAAGAAAGAAGAAGATGAATATGAAGAAAAAGAAAAAGAAGAAGAAGACGAAGAAGAAGACCAAAAAGAAGAAAACGGAGAGGAAGAAGAAGAAGAAGAAGAAGAAGAAGAAGAAGAAGAAGAAGAAGAAGAAGAAGAAGAAGAAGAAGAAGACGAAGAAGATGAAGAAGAAGAAGACGACGAAGAAGACGAAGAAAAAGACAAAAAATCCACCAAGACGAAGAAGAAGACGAAGAAGGAGTAGAGGAAGAAGAAGACCAAGACCATGAAGAAGAAGAAGAAGAAGAGGAAGAAGAAGAAGAAGAAGCACGACCAGAGTTGAAGAAGGAGCAAGATGAACCTACCATCAGAAGCCATATCCTCCTCCTCTTCTTCTCGTCAAATCCGAATGCCGCAAAATCCAAATGTCGTAAAATGAGATCTCTCTCTCGGC